GTAGGGGTGAGCTCCAGCGCTCAGCAGATTCTGTGTTGATGGTAGGGGTGAGCTCCAGCGCTCAGCAGATTCTGTGTTGATGGTAGGGGTGAGCTCCAGCGCTCAGCAGATTCTGTGTTGATGGTAGGGGTGAGCTCTAGCGCTCAGCAGATTCTGTGTTGATGGTAGGGGTGAGCTCCAGCGCTCAACAGATTCTGTGCCACTATAAAGTGAAGTCTTTGCACAGCTTTGTTTAGGTTTTGTAACCATTAGGTCTAGATTTTGTTATTCATAATCTGTTAGCACATCCTCCTTATTTCTTACCCTCATGACCGGTTTTGACCCATCATTCAGTAATTATAATTTGATCTGTCTTAATAGATGTTGCGACAGTTAATAACAATGGACCAATTACTAACCTTTTCTTCAGTTCATTACCTTATATGGGAACAGCACCTTTTGGAGTCATTGCTGTTTCATTATTTTCTTCTATCTCTCTTATTTATAGTTCCATAAGTTCTTTGGGGTAAAATATGTTGCTTCAATATTGAAGTGACAGGCAAAAGGTCAATTTTTTATGACATAAACTAATTATGTACTAAAAACCGACCAGTCATTGCTGTTTCTTTCAGTAAAACAAAACCGAATATTTATAGGATTTTTACACACCTGCATCTTAACAACTCTCTGTCATGATAAATGTGGTTTGAGAGAAAAAAACAAATGTGAAATTTTGAATAATTGTTATTATTTTTTTCAACTTGTCTGTCATATAGAACATATAAATTTTACAAACTTGTTTGGCTTAGTCTGTCGATTTAAAATTGTAAAACAAGGTCTTGATGTTTTTAATAATTAGTATGGTTTCTTTTACCATCATATCAGATTGTGAATGGTTGAGAGTTGTCTTAGGCCTCACTATTATAACATAGTATGAATATTTTTTGATAATTATTAAATGATTTGTTCATGTTTTGTATTGAAAATTATCTTAAATCTGAGTGACATGGGAAGCACTGAAAATATCTGCATGCTTGGCAAAAAAATCAACATAAATAATAACTTGAGAAATAAATTACTTTGCTTCTTTATGAACAACAGTCTGTTCAATTCATTAGTTTTCTTTTCCATTTTTGGGCATCTCTACAAATAGCAAACAATTATTTATTTACTGTGGAAGTGAAACATATAAAGGGCATTCCATTAAAAGTAACTTTGTAAGTAAGACTTATAAATACTGATATAATACTGTTGTATATAAAATAGCTTTAATGGACTTGGCTTTAAGTTACACATCAAGACTAGGATACAATGCAGATCAGCTCTCCTTCTCTTCTCTTGTTCTTCCCGGCTTCTGTTCAAGAATTGAACAGTTAGCCAGATAGTATATTTTACCCACACAGTTAGAACTTATTTATAAATACATGCTTTAAAATAATTAGACGTAAAATATCGAATAGCTAATCGGTATGTATCATCCCAGCCGCGAAGTCCTTAATATTTCTAACTCCTCAATAGGATTATAAACTTAATTTCGCGTGTGGAGCTGAAGAGGAACAACTGTTTCTGAGTGCTCCTGGTTGATTCTCAAGACCCCTCGGGGCTTGTTATATATTAAACCAAAATACCTGCCAAGGTAGTTAGTTAGTGTCTTTAATTTAGGCTAATATTGGCGAGTAATCAACTTTGATGCTTGAAAAAATAACCATTTATTGCTTAACTAAACATAAATTTTTGCAACGTATTTGATTTTAGGTTCGGAAATAATGCTGGTGTTTTATGAACAGGGTACTGCCTAGTTTTCAGCTGTTACAAAAAATATCTTATACAATTTACGTTGCGTGTTTGTGAATTTGTTTGTTTGTTTGTTGACCACATACCCCTCTCACAGTTTTGAAGCTAGCAGGACCAAACTTAGCACACACAGTTGAGGTAACCTTAGTGCATAATTATCTGTATGGCGTAAACTAATGGGGGTGGGGGTCTACAACGCCTCTGAAATATCGCACTGGTATGATGGGAGTAGGATTAGGGGTAGGTGATGAGTTCTATTTTTTGTGTACCAAATTTATATATTTTTTTATAAGTATACTTTATAGCCACAACTTTTGGCCATTTTTTTAGTCGCATTCGTGTTTTTTATTTTATTTTTCATCATAGCTACAGTTCACTATTTAATCTTACCAATCATCATACTTACCCGCTTTCATTTTCAAATTATTGTTAGATATTTTCTGCAGCATTTTTTTTTCACTGAAATTTTCTATTCATTATTTCTCCATTTTGAGTAAACTGTGATTGTTCAACAAATACAGAATTAGGCCTTGTTGTCTGAAGCTTTTATTAACCAGGGAGGCCTCCAGCACACATAGTTTTACTCAAAGTATACAACATCCCTGGTTTTCCAGAATCAATGACATGTTGTGCTGACAAACTTTGATTTTGTTTGCTGTTAAAAACGGGGTTAAACATTAATCAAAAGTGATTAGTCTGACATATGTCTATATAGACATATATACATATAGAAATATACGTCTATAGCCTTTTATTTCACTTAATAATTATGTTACCATGTGAACAGCCTGCTGTTAAAAACGGGGTTAAACATTAATCAAAAGTGATTAGTCTAACATATGTCTATATAGACATATATACATATAGAAATATACGTTTATAGCCTTTTATTTCACTTAATAATTATGTTACCATGTGAACAGCCTGCTGTTAAGCGTTTATTTGTTTCTATTTAAGCACAAAGCTACACAATGGGCCTTCTGTTCCGTGCCCACCACGGGTATCGAAAACCTATTTTTAATGTTATAACACTTACCGCTGAGCCATTGGGAGGTGTTGAACATTTGAAATTGTTGTTATTCTAGCTGTTAATAATCAGTGTAGGAAAAGTGTTCGTTTAACGGTAACCTTATTTTTCTTTTTGGAGCTTAAAGAGGATTGAAGTAATGTGTTTAACAACTCATAATACTTGTTAGTATTGAAGTTTCAAAGCTTTATATTAGTTATGTAGATCCAAAACGATTAATTATTGGTCAAAAATACTGGATTGGTTCTTTTACAGTTGTGCCTTTCACAAATAACTTCCAAGAAAATAATACGCATGTGCTTTCAACTAAACAAAGTTTCTTTACAACCAAGTACTCATTAGTTTGATTTTTATGCTTCGTATTGAATGAAACCTGCCTGTTTGTTATCAGTAACAAATTCGTTTACATTTAGTTCTATGTGTTTAAACAGCACGCGATCTATTCGTATCTGTCAGGTATCGAACTTTAATTTAGGTACATGTAGATAGTCGATGTTGATCATATGAGCTAGTGCAACGTTTTTGCTTTCATTTCTGTCGCAAATTGTTGTGTCACGAGTCACGCAAACTTACTGCAACGTTTAAGTGATTATTATGTACAAAATGAGATAAGGAACAGTTGCTATTGGCAAAAGGCCAAATTTTGCGTTCGGGGTGGGGTGGGGGTGGACGATAATGTTAATAGGAATAAACCCAGAGTATCTGATTTTTAGAAAAAAATTATTTTATTATATATATATATATAATTGATTCCACTATGTGTGAGAATACGAAATATCGCTGTATTACAATAGATTTACGACATAAATTACTAAGAAAATATAATCGCCTGGGGGATCATGTAGACCCCCACCTTCGTAGTTAAGGGTTAAATAATGCATGACTGCAAATACCTAAACACACACACACACATATTTGTCAAATTCACTTATGTTAAGTGATAAACATTTTACAGAATTATCATTATGTTGGATGTCAATGTTTTAGATATTGTTTTAATCAGCCTTGTGTATTATAGATGTTCAAATATTTGAAAGTAATATGTATGAACACTTGATTCCAATTACACTCCACGAAGAAACCAAATATTGCACCGTCATGTATCGGCCTTTGATATAGCAATAACAAAATCTTTATAAATTACATCCTTAATTCCAGTTAACTTGAACGTTATAATCCCAGAAGGTGCTTCCTTAGCGTTTCATTAAAATAACTACATTCATTTCATGTTATTTTTCCTCACATTTTTCTCCGAACTAAGATTTCATTGTTTGGCAATATATCCCATTTTAATTGTTGTAATGTCCATTTATTGAAACTGTACTTAGGACTATTTTGTTTCTTGAGCTGTGTTACAGTTACTTGTTTTGTATGAAACGTTTTGCATACGTTTTGATCTCCAAATATTTCATTTAAATACAAAGGGACAATTCAAGTTATGAATGAATAAAGAATAACGTAAAATTACATCATCCACACAGTATCTACTATATACAGTGCCGATGAGGTCTTTCGCATAATACCGCGTCTCATCAGGCTGGCTGGGATACGACAGACATAGTAATGGTCGAGGCATTATTTATGTCATCAACTTGCTTGGACAACAGTTTGAATTATTCTAAAGTTCTGAACTTTAATTCATATAGGTTTTAAGTCGTTTCACACCAGAATTGGGTTTATTATTTATTAATATCAAATTATTTGTCTAACGCCACAATGATTAATATTATTTCATTTTATTTTGAATTAACTTTACTCATACTCCAGAAGAACTGGCGAATCAGCGAGCTAGTTATATTGCTCAACTCGGTTTATATTATTTTAGAATATATATACATATAAAAACATGTTTCGAACTACAATACATTATATTAGTATTTTTGTTATTTCTTGTACATTCATACACACACAACCGATCGAACTGATTCAAATGCTGCTTGAGTTATCGAAATAGTTCGTTTATTGTACTTCCAAAAACTGCTTCCTTTCTCATATTAACTTTTTTCCTGCAGCATCTTTATATTTTTTTCTTGTTTTTCAGCAGGCTTCGTTTCTCAATGCAACTGTAGAAACTTTCCTGATGTTGAAAATCAGTTTTGTCTGAAAAAATAAATACAGGGAGAATTAAATAGACATAGCAACGTGCTACTACCGCCCATTGACCGGTTCTCCGAAATCTCTTTAAAATTCTGCAGAAAGGTTTTGTGAAACCGCCACCTAGGTATCGTTTTTATAAGTATTTGAGAATACAATTCTTAGCAAAGTATTTATCCAGATTTTTTTTTCTTTCGTTTGTATTATATAACATTAAACATTTACGTCTGTACCGACTATTAAACATTATTCTCTTTATGCACCAAATAGAAGTACAGAAGTCGTTTCTTTTTTCAACTGAATGGTTTTTTTGTTTACTATTCCAGGAATTTGAGATTTACGTTATTTTTAATAAACCATAAGCCTGGCGTGATGTCGCAGTGGCGCATGCGTTGACGTCTGCAATTTCTTAACATTTAACACATTATATACTATAATCCTCAATATTAAGACAACATGTACGTATATTTTTATCTTAAAGTTTCATCGTATAAAAATTTATAAATATTAGGGTATAGAAAACATATTACCCAATGTTTTTGTAAATCAATCTATAAACACCTAACGTAATAAAACTATATATTTTTCGTTTCCCCTTTGTACTTTTGTTTTCCAGAAATATATTGTTGATTTAACCACTTTCTATAGAAATTATCGCAGTTAATTATGTATGACAAAATCATCCTTCATACTTTATATTCATGTCATAATATATATCTATATAAGAGTTGAAATATATCTAAAAATATCTTATAAGTTCCGGAATGTTCGTCAAATACCTACATGCGTATCTTCACAGGCACATAAGGCCTCACCTTGTGCTTTTCACACCTGACGTTCTTGTGCCAATCGTTAGACTGCATACAAGTTGGTTCTCAGATCTCTTTAATTGTTGCTTTCCAACTTTTCCTTTACGTTGCAGGTTCGGCATGTCCAGGTGGTTAGGGCGCTCGAGTCGCAATTTGAGGGTCGCGGGTTGAATCCCCGTCACATCAAAACATGCTCGTTCTTTCAGCCGTGAGGGCGTTATAAAGTAACGGTCAATCCAACTATTCGTTTGTAAAAGAGTAGCCCAAGAGTTGGCGGTGGGTGGTGATCATTAGCTGCCTTCCCTCTAGTCTTTCACTGCTAAATTAGGGACGGCTAGCGTAGATAACCCTCGTGTACCTTTGCGCGAAATTCAAAACAAAGAAACCTTTACGTTGCCATTCTAGAACTATTGCAGAATCCTACCACGTGAACCTTCCTCTATGCAGCATGCACGCCACCTGTTGTTTAGTCATTTCACGTAGTTTGCTGTTGATGATGCAGTGTTGCCATTTAATTTTGCATATCATTCGTATACATACGCTATCAAAACTACCAGGTTATATCATAGGTTATATCTCAGCGCCGTGCAGTAGGACTGACAGGACCTAGCTGTTTTATAACTCCAAAATTGTTTTCCACACTGATATTGTACAATTTCCAAGTTTTATTCAGTGATTATTTAGTTTATATATTTGTCTTTGCTGAAAATACTGCTTCCTAGACGTGTAAAGGGATCTACTTTTTGCCAGATCTTCTCCGTTTAGTTGTACTATTACATCCTGCCCGCATACTTCCATAATCATAATCTTCCCGCCACTAATCTTCAAACCAATTGCTGTTTCATTATGTGAAATTGTTTCTGATATTTCTTACATCCTCTTCTTGAGTGAATCTGCTGAGTGCAAACTAATCTTTGAATATTAAAACATTTAGTCACATGTTTCTGCTGGTCTTGATTATTACTAGTTCTTCTACATGAGTCACTCTAGGCTTGAACAGAACAAGAAAAGTGATAGAACACATTTTTGTCTTACTCACGTTGGTACTGTAAACTATTCACAATTGTAGGGCTAACTCTGAAATGTTCTTACTGAATGAAACCTTCTATTTAAATCATTATATTTTTTTCCACATAATCAAAAACATCTTTCAAAACCTATCACAAGAAAAATAGTAATGATAAAGTATAATGTTTAAACTACACCAAACTAGTGTTAGCCGGTATAATATATTAATGATAAGAATTCATTGTTTGTTTGTTTATAGTTAAGCGTAAAGCTACACAAATGGCTATCTGTGCTCTGCCCAACACGGGTATCGAAACCCATTTTCTAGCGTTGTAAGTCAGCAGACATACCAATGTGCTACTGGGGGACTAGGAACTCACAACTGATGATTTAATTAAATAGGAAAGGTAGGCCTAACTTTCGGTAGCTTAAATTACATTTACAGAAAAACAAAATGAAAGAGCATTAGGGCTAAGAATTGTTGAAGCTGCAAAGAAATACATATCTTCCTGGTGGCTAGGTCTTCTGTTGGTCAGAAGATGATCATTCTAAATACTGTAATTAACGGCCAAATAGTAAAGTTGTTACCTTTAATTTATTTGTTAAAACGGAGGTTACTATGTAAATCTAACAAACACTATTTATGCTTCAGGTATTAACAATGCCTTATAGAGGAGATTAGTTTTTTCACTCTTAAAACTTACAAATGTAATGTATGTAAGTCGCATTACTCCTTAATGATTCTTAAGCAGTGAATCGTACTTGCAACTTACAAATAAAAAACAAAGATGACGAGTAACCAACGAGTATGAGCTGCACTTCTCGTGATAAATTTTCTATGGTAGCTTTACGAGTATAAAAGTGACATATGTCTCGATGTGGTGATTTGATTATCTCATGCATCAGCTTAGACGTAATTCACTAGTAGCAAGGGCTATGAAAGTAGCACATTTCTCTCTGTGTAGTACTTTAACGCTTTCACAAAATAATATTTTTTAATAATCATGGCAGAGAATGTATGACATACTTTATTCATAAATGTACCTGCAAAAAAAAAACACATAAAATGATGCATGGAATAGAAAAAAAAAATTACCAAATGTTCACGATGTTAGAAAAACACGTAGGTTCAAAAAGTCTTGATAGAAATGAATAAAAACCCTATAACCCAAGCGCTTTCGAAAGGTGGACCTTTCTTCTTCAGAGGTAAACTGGGAATGTTGTTATACCCAGAGCGAAATTTGTCCCACTAAATACATCCACTTTATATATTATATTTGGTGAAGTTTACGTTTCAAGTAAAGTTATTCTCGAGAAACGAACTACCAGAGTTGATGAAAAAGGATAGATCTATCATAAATAACGACTGCCAGAATTTAATGCAAAAGGCTATTCGAAAGAAATGATATCCTAAAAAGGATAGTCTCTCGATGGACACATATTTAGTCCTAGCTTAGGTATTAAATAGAATAGATCACAGAAATCAATAATATGATATCTGAGGAAAATATCTTGAAAGGGTCTTAATGTATGGAATACAACGAATTTTTAGCAACTGCGAAAAAGCATTTCGAGATAAATACTTAAATCTATTAATATTTTTATCATCAATTCATATGTGACCTCGTTCACCAAGGGATCACGCAAACTCGACGAAAATTAGATGATGATACACGTGATCTGTTAGCTGTATATTCCGCTGTGAAGGGAAGAGCACATTTAATAAATTGAAAATTCGATTAATGATTATGTATTTAATTAGTAATAAATCATACATGAATAACAGTATCAATAATTGTACGTAACTTAGGAGTAATCCATGAGCAGCCCACAAGGCTCATAAGACATAAAAAAGAACATTTACTAAGTTAAGTGTATCTGCATAACATTCATTAGTAACTAACGAAGAACGTACTCTCTGTGGGACATCGGTAAGTCTACGAACTTGTAACACTAAAATCCGGGTTCGATTCCCCCGCGGCAGACACAGCAGATAGCCCAATGTGGCATTGTCCTACAAACAAACAAGCTCAAGAAGAAATGAAAAAATGTAAAGTTAAATAAAAACAAAGTATTTCTGTAATTAAGAAGAACGTAAATAGCGAGTCTATTTATTCCTTCTGTTGGCGTATGGTCAAATGTTCTTTCCTTAAAGCATGACCTGGCATGGACAAGTGGTTAAGACGCTCGACTTGTAATCTGATGGTCGCGGGTTTGAATCCCAATCCCACCAAACATGCTCGCCCTTTCAGCCGTGGGGGCATTATAATGTGACGGTCAATCCCACTATTCGTTGGTAAAAGAATAGCCCAAGAGTTGGCGGTGGGTAGTGATGACTAACTGCCTTCCCTCTAGTCTTACACTGCTAAATTAGGGACGGCTAGCGCAGATAGCCCTAGTTGCGCGAAGTTAAAATAAACAAACAAACCTTAAAGCACCTCCACCTCTTTACCTTACGATACACAAGAACAACAAAAAACCTGGCTGTACACACCATACAAAGATTTTTTTTTTTAATGGCTGTGGGGCTTTAAAATGAAACTGCCCAGAGTTATTTGAGGGTAGTTTTCAGGTTTCATTGTATAATGAGACGATCATTTTATGCACATCTAAATATAAGAAAAAGCCATCATCGTCTTGCTTGAGAACTATGTTCAGAATTATGTCACATTCTGTTATCAAATTGATAAAAGATTTAAAAACACGCGATTCATTGGTTAGAAATTATAATGTGATTGATTAGGAGCCGGCGTATGTTAACAGCTTTCTACATATTTCTTTGGTTGTTTTCGAATATTCACGCAAAGCTACACAGAAGATAAAATCGTATTATAGGCATTTTGCAATGGATACACTCTCTAACTAGAATCGTATCTTAGGCATTTTGCAATGGATACACGTGCTTACTTAATTGAAAATTTGTGGGCTAATAAAAACCTTATATTTTATCGTTGTACTTCAGTCAGTAAGTTTTTTTCTTGACATTAATAAATCCACGTTTAAATTACATTAAAACAAGGTTGATTTATATGACTTAATGGTAATAATTTATCAAATAATGTTCAACTGTTTTAGGAAAGAAATGTTGTTTACCAGGTCTAAAACTTTCAAGTTTTGGTGTTTATTTCGGAAGAAGTTTATACACTGCAATCATTTTGATATTTGACTTATTGATTACACACTTTGGAACTAATATTCAGTTGAAGAAAAGAAACCTTAAACTTGCTCACTTGTATACGTGGATATATTATGGGCGAGCGCAGCCCAGTGGTTAGCGCGCGGTACTGTGTGTGAATCCATGGCTCGCGCTCCTTTACAGACGAGGGTGCGTTATAAGAGTGAATTTAGTGCTCACACTGAATGAGTATAACCGTAAATGTGAAGGGGGAACCATTCAGTCTATGTCTTTGTCAGTTGGCGCACACATTTAATACATAGGTGGAATATATCTATGAAACATTGAACATAGGTGTCGCTAAAATGTGAACTTGAAATCTTACTTTCTTATGATATGACATTTAGTGACGTGTATCACATAATATGAAGTTTTCACACAAGTTTTAGCAGTAGTTATTTGTAATAATCTTACAAATCGACATCAAACTCACACTGTTAATGAAATACCTATGATATATACTTTATGCTGCTGTATATCATATTGTAATTTGTCTTGAGTCTGCTACTGAATGGACAAAGAAAATATTGAATATTTGATGTCACTTTGAAACTATTGTATTCTTAAGATGAAAACAACAATAAAAACACCCGTGTTTCAAGATCACTTTGTAGTGCGCGCGTTCCATTTTCCCATCCCACTTAACATGCTCGCCCTTTCAGCCGTGGGGGGCTTTATAATGTGACGGTTAACCCCACTATTCGTTGGTAAAAGAGTAGCCCAAGAGCTGGAGATGGGTGGTGATGACTAGCTGCCTTTACTCTAGTCTTACACTGCTTAATTAAGGACAGCTCGTGTAGCTTAGCGCGAAATTCAAAACAAACAAACAAACACTTTGCAGTGCCATCTATGGTTCCGTATACGGTTTGTACACATCTGTACAACTGGGAAATATTATGTGGTTCTTTCACCACTTAATACGTTTGTACTGGTCCTGTATATATATATATATATATATCTCAAAACAAAATAATAATTCTAAGCTTTTGTTCGAAATTTTTC